TATTCACTAATTGTTTGCTTTTCAAGCGATGTAATCCGGGTACATTAGTTCTATAAAAAAATCGGTAATCTTTTCAGCGACAAATTATTTAATTTAACGTTCTATTCCATTTTTATTAACACACGACTGTCGTCGCTTATGCCCAAAACATTTTCTCAGGTAAGAAAGTATTCTTCTGGGCGAACAAGGAATATGTCCAGAATTGCATCTCTCGTTGGATCCTGGATAATAAGCCTGTATCCACAGTCCCAAACACATCCATTGGCGAGCGCTTGTGCTACGCTAATTCCTTCAGTATCGCTAGCCCACTTTACCTGAAAGAAGCTAAAATTGCTGCCTATTATACTCCGCTTCGTAGAATTATTTAAGAAACCGGTACGGTCTGCTCGCCTTTTTCTATACGAGACTTTCTTCTTTGATAAATATTGTAATTCAGAAGAAGCATTGTCGACTGGTAATAAGGAAACAGATGACATCATAGGCATGACTGCAGCCTTAAAGGACCGAAGGCTTGATTTGGTGTATAAGAAATAAGCGATTTAAATAATTAAGATAAGCGTGTGTAAATTATTTCCCTTATAGTTCTTCACTTAACTTCACAGCCACAAGCCGCTACTGGCTTCTGGTGTTTTACATTAATAGCGTACGAAGTAGGCCGAAGGCCGCAGCCTCGTCACGAACGTCGACACGCGTAGCGAAGCGTGAAGTGTCACTTAAAAGTGTTCGGCAAAAAAGTACTTTGGAATAAAAACTTGGGAAATTGTGCATCCGACAGGATCAACTATTATTTAAGACAATCGCGTAGGTCAAAGGCCGGAGCCTTGTCATGAAATTGGACACGGCGTAGCGAAGCGTCACTACGCCTTTAAAGTTCGACGTTACAATAAGACGATATTGCACTCGATATTGCGTCCGTGTTGCCGTCCGCCATGTTCTAGTGGGCCATTCGTTACGATAAGGAAGAAGAATCGACTTCTGGTATTCCTTGTGCTATTCGGGTGTTTGCTAAAATGCAACTCTCAACGTGCTGCATATTAGGATTGACATGGCATTTTACCAGTTTGTTTTACACCGTGCCAAACACTTATAAGACATTTTAAAAGGCTGCGAAGCATTGTAAGAAGCGGCAGTTCGTATTGAGAGCTTTCCTGACCTTACGACCTGACGCAACGCGGAAATCGGCGCGCGCCGCCGGCCCTGCTGGCACTCTGCGCAGAGCCTCAATTGCCTGGGAGGGCATATACGGCGTACGCAGGAACAGTAGATTGCATTGCAGGTTCGGAAATACGAGAAGATCAAACATGTGCTTTAATAATTCAATTCAATTTATGTAAAGATGCATCTTTAAAATATTATCTCGATTTAGTAAAATGAAATACATAATATAAATACCTAAATTTCACTTTTGTATCGAAAATAAAATTTCAAAACTAATCTAACAAAAAAGGGATCAAAATATAACGTGAGAACCCAACAAGCGCACCGTTGGTGCGCTTGTTGAAAAAGTGGATAAATCCAGTTACTAAATTTAGAAAAAAAATCTTTTAACACGTGATGTACCCAGAATCCATGTTATGTAGTTCCTTGATAGCGAAAAATCGAATAACGGCAAAACGTGTCTTCGACACGCCGTCTGTCCGTCGCCCGTTCGCTAGCGGCAAAACTGTTGAGTCGATTTTATCCAAAATTGATATTTCCCAATCGATCTGGCTGATGTCACGGCCCCTTGAATTTGGAACCGATCTTTTAATTTTGGGAGTACTTTACATGAAGACCATGGGACATTTTCACATTTTTCAAAAAAACGGCTCCATTGTTTTGATTAAATTTTATTTTTGGATATTGTGATGGACGTTTAAGAGTGGTGTAGGTCTCATTTTCGTTAAAAACTCTGATTTTTCGAAAATTTCAAAAATTCAAAATTTTTGGCTTCTTCCTACAAGTACAATTATGAAGATAGGAATTTTTCCCTTAATGAAATCGGTTTCTTAAAGATAGATTTTGAAATAAGGTCGTGTACAATTTTTCGAAACTTTGAGTACGTTTCTTGTAATTTAGAGTAAATATACTGACGAGAAAGTACGTGTTGTTTAAGTACCACTCGTTTCTTTTTTAGTTTTATTCAAACTAACATTGATTTATGAGATCCTTAAAACGGATTTCAGTAGGATTATTAAGATCGTATGCTTGAGCAAACGAACAAACGCTCTACAAACGCCCCCGTTGATAGACGTAGCTTATCGTTCCTGGGGCTGCTGATGCAACGGTGTGCTTCTTAGGAGTCGCGGTGATCACGTAACTCCTTGATGCAAAACGTCTCTATAATTCCACATCTAATATTACACAGCAGTTCAGAATTTGTATATGGATTTAGCATGGCGTTCTACCTACTGACCAAATATTCATGCGAATTTGAGTATTCGAGCATGGCGAGTGTTGAGTGCAAGTGCTCGTTGTCTTGTAGGTTGCTTACGGAAGATCGCATTGTTGTTGATCGCGTTGCAAGACATTGTTTTCTCTGAATTACGTTAACTTAATTCAAAATATTTGTTAGGAACTTCACCAATTAGCTTTTAACACAACGTAATATAAAATTACTGAATACATTTGAAATTTAAATTTCTCGTCACAAGAAATATATTTGACAACAAACAGGACAAGACGACAAATTTGGAATCTCTGAAAGCAAACACTTACGAAAACTAGTGGCGCTACAGTTCATATTTCAGAGCATTCACCGAAAATGATTCCTGCGCCAATTCTTTCGGTGTATTTGGTTCTATTCGCGAAATAATGACAGAAAAAATTTCGGTATTATAATTTTACGTATCCGTCGGTGAAGCGAGAAAGTACCTGCTGTTGGAGAACAAATAGTGTATAATTTGCGTTAACTTCAAGCAGAAATAACGCGCAGAGTAATCATTTTTATTTAATTTTACATAACCTTTTTTTAAAGATCTGAGTTTTGGAACATTTTTATAAAAAAAGCCTCTAGCATCAATATTGTACTTGTTCAATGCTAACGTTTTGAAAGTTTCGAAATTAATGAGTTCCCCGAAAATGGGACCAACACAACTTGTTTTATCGTCCTTTGATACATACGAGGAATTGAAAGAAAAAATTGCAGCGTTTTTTGTGAAAATAAATATTTAACATTGCTTAATAAAATTATGCGAAAACTTCTCATATTTTTGAAAAATTGTAGATGACGTTATTTCAAGATTTATCTTTGAAGAGCAACTTTTAATTAAAGAAAATATCTTTATCTTCAATATTGTAGTTTGTAGAAAGAGGCCGAAAAAGTTTTTGAACTTTTGAAATTCGAAAAACAAAAACAAAACAACAACAACAAAGATTTCAACGAAAATGAAACCAGCGGAATTCTTTTAGGCGTTATCTATGTTATCCGAGGTCGTAGTTTCATTTAAGAATTTGGAGCCATTTTAGAGAAAATATTGAAATTGTAATTGGGGCTACGGGCAATATACTGTCAAAAATTAAAATATTCGTTTCAAAATTGCAGGGCCTCATAGAAACATCAATTTGGAGAAAATCTGCTTAATGGTTTAGTGCTTAGCATTGATCATTGACAAACAGACATACGGACGGACAGACGTTTTACCGTCAACGTTTTTTTTTTTGGATATCAGAACACACAAAACGGATTCGAACTGCACAATATGATAGAGGAAGTAATTTACTACTTATAGAAACCAGATTAATTCATTTTCTCGTTACCAGGGCCCGGCGAAAGGAGTTTTTCTGTCGAAAATTCGCCCATTTCTGGAGCACAATTAAAATATTTCCGCAAGCGTAGTAAGGCGAAAAAGTATAAGGGGCGCGTCAACTGCTTAGGTCATTAGTCCCTTAAGTGTAATGCATGTTATATCCTGTGAGGTGGCGGAGTTTCTCCTCTGCTTGAAAGTAAGATCCAGCACCCACCTACACGTGGGTTTACAGGGTTTTCTACTTCCAGGTATCTCTCTCAATGGGGACCCATCCCAGCTGCGATAAGTTCTAAGCGCCCGAATGGTTTTCCCGGTATGTGTGTTTTTTTAAAATAGTGCATGCAAGGGCGTGTGCGTGTGTAAGTGTGTGTGTGTGTGTGTGTGTGTGTATGTGTGTGAGGGGAAAGGAGGAGACAGGGTGAGGAAGGAGAGATCGCGCACGGCCCATGGCCCGTTTAAAATGCCCCGGCCTTTTCTTGGTCGTGATCGTAGAAACCATTGAAAATCATTTGATCGTAGAAACCATTAAAAATTCATACGCTAAATAATATGTAAAAGTAGTCGTCGAGATTGTTGGTCTGGGCTGGATGGGCCACGGATTCAAATACTTCCTCGGGCATTGATGTTTGGATTGTGATATAGTGGGGCGCTCCCAACCACCGTACCACTTTTCAATCATCTTCCTTCCATTCCTGGCCGGCCTGAGTAGCGCAGTGAGAGTACTTTGAGGCCAATTTCGTGTTACACTTGGACTGTGAGTTCGAATCCTGTGTCAGACATAAATGTCTTAGTCTTAATGCAATGGGACGTGTACATTCCCAACATGTCACTCTTGAGCCTCAATCCTTACCATTCTTCCTCTCCGGAACCTTGTGTTAATGTGAATAAAATCAGTGTGTGAACGACGTCAGAGCTTACGGGCTGCATAGTTCATTCATATAGTTGTGACCTGGCTCACTTTCTCTTAACGTATGAAACATAGATGGTCTCAGTAGCTTTGCCTAGCTCGGATACAGAATGTACGTGCCCGAAATGAACTTGCAAGCCGCAATGGTCGCACTTGGAAGAAAAATAGTCTAAACTTGGGGGGGGGGGTCGTGTAGAGAAGCACCGAGAGAGGCCAAACACGAAAATCTTTTATAAATGGAAGTAGCGTTCTGTTACTTGAACGATTGTGAAGACTGAAGATTGGAGGCATAGAAGTAAGTTTCAGTGTTATTATTGTGTGAATAGAATGTGCAGTGGTTTCGGGTTGCCCCAGGCGACACTTACCCCAGGCTCGGACTTAATGGGCTCCGGAGACACCTGCTGCTTCGTCATGTGCAGGTGGTGCATCATGGCCTGCAGGCGGTCGCGCTCCTTCTGTAGCTGCAGCTCCAGCTGCGACACCACCTGCATCTGCACGCGCGCCTGCGCCGTCGACCGGTCGTCCAGGGTGTGCTCAGTGTTGAGGTGCCTGCGCATCACACCACCCCTCGTCAGCACACACCACAGGATCTTACCAGGGTTTTGTTGTGATGCCTAAGCCTCATAGGGAAACTACAGGCAGGTGTTTACGAAGAAATAATGTGAATGATGATGGAGCAACGGTGGAATGGGATTCAGGAAAAACTGGAAAACCCGGAAAAAATCTATGTGAAAATGCTTTGTTCAAAACAAGTTCCTTGTGGACCGACCGGAGTTTAAACCCTGGTTCCAGTTGTGAAACGCAAATGGTTTGACCACTACACCAGGACTCACTATTTCCACGCTTCCTTTAGACGAACGATTCCGATATTCATGCGTTAAGGGGTACGTGTGGTTAGCAGAAAGACATCTCTACGACATATTCTAGTCTTCTGAATCTGACAAGTGAGTTTTCTCATCGACACACTGCAACATGTACTGAGATATTGCAAGGAAAACGCACACTCTGATCTTGCACGACCGGGAATCGAACCTGGGGTCACGTTATGGAAAGCGAGTACGCTGACCAATGAGCTTAACTGCGAGGATTTTCTTGGATTCTATCTACATAAATAAACTGATTTTAAGCAAATATTCTTCAGTCGACGGAATGACAAGAATAATAGGAAGTAAAACACTTCCATCACAAGTTAGCTGACGTTTGTGAAATGAATACTAATCACTTCTACGTGTTACTCATCGATCGTGCCCCTTGAGTGTGGTTTGACATCAATGAGAATAAAAAACGCTCATATAGTTGAAAGACCATTCACGGTGACGTCCATCAAGAAAAAAAAGTACGGTAACAAGATTTTTTTTACAAAATACCACTCTACCGTAGTAATATGTTTATATATTACAAATAACGACTGCATTTTCTTTAATAAACTCGACATGCACGCAAGAAAAAATGTATCGTAATTTTATAAGAATAATAAAAAGGTTTGGGGATCTTCTTTAAATACGGGAACCCATACAAGTCGTTTTGCACATAAACGTCGCTTTTCACTAACAGTGTACGTAATGTATAGCTTGGGCGATTTTTTATAATGAATTACATGTTCTAAGAACTTAGCAATATTCTCTAAAATAATAGTATTTCCCTAAACGCGGCCAAACATTGACTCAAACAAGTTGTTCCCAACCACCGGTATGGTGACGAAGCTAGGAGTCGATGCAATTCCAAGGGGGGCAATAATGATACGGGGTCGAAAGCCGAATACGACCGGAGAGTAATAGGTCAAATCAAGACCTATTGATTACACAATATATAAATGAAAGGGTCTTCATAATTAATATTTTCTTATATAAAATTTCAAAAATCTAAAAATATCGTGTTTACATGTGTAAATATTGAAAATTATAATTGTTGAAAAATAATATAAATCTAATAAATCACTTCTTCGAAATTTGTGTTTATATTCTTTATCGAAATGGTAATAAGTAATTTATATGGAATTATTTGTGTTTTGATTGTGTTGTTTGCGGTATAGTATAGGGGAAAGGAGAGGTTGATGAAGCATTCCTTTAAAAGGGGCCGAAAGAAGAAATAGTTGAGAATCCCTAATTTACACGCACTACTTACATTTTAAATCACTTTCTTTTTCAAGAGTATCGGAATGATGGAATATTTTGAGATTGTATTTCGTATTATATGAACACCTCACGCAAAAATAATTCAAAATAGTTTTAGCAAAATTTAGTAAGTTATTCTGAGGTTTACAAACGTAGGACCCGCAATCCTACTTGGTTGAAGAGAGGAAAACATGTTGGCGTATTTTACAACTTGGTTTTACATAATTTAATACGCGTAACTAAAATATGTGAACGAAAAGAGACTTATAAAACAAAGAAATGTGTGTTTTATGAGAATTCATTTGTTTAAAGAAAAGTAAAAAGTCCATTGCAAAATAATACACTTACTTGAGAAATGACTGGAAATCATCACAAATTACTTCACAGCCAGGCCATTTGCAAACTCCATGCCCATATAGTGGATGCATTTTCTCTCCACTGTTTTCAATTAATTTGTCATCAGATAATCCTGTGACTCCATTTAAATTGTCCCTTCGGCCAATTCCCATGGAGTTAAGCAATCCTGAAACACAGAAGTTTATTATTAAGGAACAGAATTAATGACATACACAAATACACTTGTCAGGTACCTTTTAACTCATCCACAAGGTTATTATAAATTTTTAGAAGAAATACAGAATTGTCGCTCTAGTCGGGCTATGCACAATACACTATTTGCGCAAATTTTCTTCAGAACTCAATGCAAGATGAATGGGAGGGAGGTTGTTATTTCTTCGGTTACGAAGTCTCCTGCAGTACTGTCATCTACCAGGAAATCAAATGTATTGCTCGCATTCGGCGACCTAACCGGTCTATAAACCGGGAAGGAAAATTTCTTGTTTTGAGAGTTTGAAAACAGCGATTGCGCTAACTTATTCAAAATCAAACTGTTACGGTAAAAAAAGGGGGTTCAAGGAAAAAGTAAGAAAACTTGCGCAGATCTTTGTATCTCAGCATGCTTATCTTTGTGGCAAAAGTGGACACTATCAGGTGTTGTGTTAGCAATGCTCGTGAAACCTAGCCAAGACCCACTAGCCAAGTGACTAGTATTCTGAGATTACAACGAACGATAATCATTTACATTTTACAAAAACAAATATATTTTTGTTGAAAACTATACCACAGTTAAAATTAGATAATTTTGACTGTATGTATATAATTTAACGTTAGTACATAAATGTATAAAAAAGAAAATTACATAGAAATAATGGATAAAATAGATCATTTAATTTAATTTAGTTATGAATAAATATATTAAATAGCATAAACTGACAAAAGAACAAAAAATTAGCTTACAAAAGTGTAAAGTAAAACTGCTTGGTGTTTCAAATTTCTTATATACACTCATATGTTTAGCAAATTCTCGTAACTTACTTAACAGGTGTTTCAAATTCGTAATTTTGTATATAGTACGTTCAGTGACTATAGCGAACGCCAGTACTGTACAAAACTTCCTGCTACAGATGTAAATATCAATTGTGTCAGCAACTTCACAGAATATTTACTAGACTGTTCGGGTGACGCCGCGTCCATGGCAAAGGTGCCGACGTTTCGGTCGCCATTCTGCGCCCTTCGTCAGGGCGTAGTGCTAACGCATGGCATTACGCCCTGAGGAAGGTCGCAGAATGGCGACCGTAACGTCGGCACCTTCGCCTTGGACGCGGCGTCATCCGGACAGCCTAGTAAATACTGACTCCGACCGCGGAAGCCTACGCTCTAATTTCACAGAGATACCAAATCAGTGCCCCAAACCTGTGCCACGAGAACTACCGAAACAAAAACAATTTGGTAGAAAATTGAATTCTTCAGAACCTAACTATTGTGTTTTTCGTGAATATTTGGACCATCCGTGAAACACACTTCATATATTTAATACTGGAATTATAATATCTAAGGGCCATACGTTTGATTTCTTGAATTTGAATAATAGTTTATTTAACAAGGTCGAAGTGTGAAGGTTTCTGAACCGTATTGTTAAATCACCTCGAGACCAAAAACAATCATATTTCGTCCGGGGTACATACAACGTTTCTTTTATACATTTACCTCTTAAAGAAGTCGAATCTTATCAGTAATAAAGCGAGTACCAAAACTTCCTTTCTGCCAACATACGTCTAATTTTATATACGCAACCTAAACGTTGATGGTCCAATAAGTTTTGCTTTCATGTTCATTGGTCACCAGGGATCATAAGCTGTCTTAATCTAATCACCCGTGTTCTGCGTATTATTTCATAGTACATTTGCACATTTTTACATAACAACACTGGTAAAAAGTTTTTAACATCCTAGTCGGGCAAACCTCAACATTACGGACGATAACTGTACAAAAACGGCTGCTTTAGGAGGGGAATGTACAAAATCTTTTTATTTTTTAAAGTGAAGAATTTTAATGATAGACAGAAGATAAAAATCACGTTATTCACGTAATTAATACCAGAAAGTGAGGCGATAGGACTCCAACATCTTGAAATGAATACATCAAAAACACTTTCATATGTGCTACGTACATAATAAAATTACACATAACATAATATTGGGATCATTCTCAATGAGCGAGGCGACGGCCATGTTGATTCATGTCCCCCAGTGTTTTGTTCACGTATGTAACAGATTACTGCTTTCTTGCGTAATACTTGCAGTTGTACGGCGATTTTTCGACAGAAAAACTTATTGCCGGGCCAGGGTAACGGAAAAGTGGAAAAATCTTGCCCTCCTTGTAGTAAATTACTTCCTCTAACATGTTCTGTAGCCAGAATCAATATTTTATAGATCCTTGACAACGACATATTGATTGACGGCAAAACGTTTTTGTTTGTCCGTCCGTCTGTGGCCAACGCTAGTCCCTAAACCGTTCGGACGTAGGTTTCAAAATTGATATTCCCAGATCGATCTGAACTAACTCGAGACCCCTCGAGTTTGAAATGGATATTTTGATTTTCGGGGGTACTTTACATGAAGCCCCAACATTTTGAAAATTTTCTCAAAATTCGGTTCACTTTTCTTATTAAACATTGTCTCGGATAGTATAAAGAACTCTTAAAAATTATGTGGGTTTAATTTTTGTTGAAATTCTTGATTTTTGGAAAATTGCAAAAGTTTAAATTTTGTGCGGCGCCTTCCTAGAAATACAATAATGGTATTTATTCATGACTTTGTTCCCCCAAAACAAGACTTTCCAGTCAATAAACAATGAAGGCAAGTACTAGTTTCCATGTATGAGTGATGAAAAATCAATTTATCTCCCAATTATACATACCATTTAGGCCTGGAATATTCTTGTGTGCATTAGGATTGTGATGGCCATCATGGCTTTCTGGCAATTGTTCTTTCCAAGGGTTAGGAAGTTCTCCTGATGTTAAACCTGTCACCCAAAAGAAAAACATGGTTAAACAGTATTTTTAAACAATAATTTTGCTTTGCATGCAATAAGCTCTTATATATATACACGTATTTGCCTAGTAATTTGTTTCAACACCATTAACGGTACTTATTAATATCACGCTTTTAAAACATTATGTTCCAGAAGAAATTCAATAAGAACTCCGCACTGCAGTGGGTGTCCGTCATCTTTTCAATTTTGTTTTGAATCATAAAAAAACCCTTTTTGCCTTTTGTACAGCTCTGGGGGATGTTGGGTGTATAAATATATAATAATACATATATCAAAATATTTGTTTAAACGTTCTTTTTAAAACTTATTTTGTTTGTGAAATTGTAAGTAAACACCAATATTTATAGCCAACTCCGCCCCTCCACATTTGTTGGGAAGGTCTGCAAATACAGTAGAAGCTAGAGATTTTCCAGAGTCTTCTCTAGCTTGCTGCTGGGTGCAATGTGCGATAATTTTGCCATTTTTAGAATGTTGCAGCCCTGGCCAATGAGGCATAGATTTCTTGACAGACACCCATGAAGTGCGGACTTCCAACCACAACCGGTCAGCACCGGGCCCTGGCTTCATGAAAGTGGCCATTGAGAGGATCTGAAGTAGAGCCTGTAGGCAAAATGAAATAGTTACACAACGTACCTTCTACAGAATTTTCCATTTGAGCTTGAAGGCTTTACAGGTTCTTCAAATCTCTTTATATAATGCCTCTTTGCCCAGAGCTGTGTACATTACTATCTTAATGGAAATTGAAGTTGTGGTAAATGTTGTGCAAATACTGATTCTTGTTTTCATGTCTTCATAAACTTGAATATGTTTATGTTTGTGTCAGTTAAATTGGACAGAATGGCATCAACACAAATCTTGCACCCATACTCTTTAAAGTTATCTTGCAATCACATAATGCATTCCTTCCACATTGTAAATTTTATATATAGGAACTCAAGAATTCTTCATTTTCCAGGAAATGCGGTTAAATGAAATCTCATTCACTAGTACAATATGTGTTGTTTTAAATAGCATAATTTTTATGCTCTCTGTCATTAGGTGCAGAATATTTCACACATAATAAGTTTATTTGCAAATTAAATATATATTTCTAAATATATATTCATATTTTGGATTTAACAATTGAGATAAACATTTTGAAATTTTAATAATTGATTCACTCCATGTACTCTTGCTTGTTGGTTGATGGGTTCAAAAGCTTCTTTAATTTATTCTCTCAACAATGTTCCCTCATGAAAGCGATAATTTATTTTTGATAGTACCTTCAGATAGTGCCTATCTCTTTTTCTTTCCAACAAATATATTTATATATTTCATATTATACAGTAACTGTGTTTAAACATTCATAATCCATTATCATTGTTTATTTATTCATTATTTATACTATTGATTGCAGTTGCTTAATTATAAATGGAAACATAGTATGATATTGTTTTTGAAAATATTAAATATTTTGATGACTTACTTTCTTCTGGCAATTTTATCTTCCACATGATTACATTGTCTTCCATTTCATAATAATTTTGTATTACTTTCAATTCATTCATAATTTTTATAACTATCATGAAGAATATTAGGGTGTATTTTTCTTCGATGTTGTAACAGTTCTAATAATCTTATGTAATGATAATTGATATTTCAGAATTCTTCAGGAAACATGTTTAATTTCATTAATTTTATATATTCGAGAAACTTGTCTTGGCCTTCAGTGCGTCCGTGGTCAATAGAAAGATCAATCTTTACATTGTGGAAGTAGAAGATCTAATTATTAATCTGTAAGAGTTCCTACAAATGACTAGTAATATATGTTGTACATATTACACTTCTTTTTTCTATACAATATAAAAATTATATCTTTCTTCTTTGCTATATACTAGTTTGCAACTTATTGTAATGCAAAGAGAAGAGCTTAATATTACCTGCTTGGAATTTTGTTTATTAATATAGTTGTATTCTACTGTATTAGCAAAGAGTATCATGTAGTATAAAATACTGGAGTGATACCTCTTAGAATTGTGACACTAGTATTTCTGATTGTTTTATTATTGCTCAATTCGACATTCAACTATTTTACTTGTCAGTATCAAGATCATTCCTCAGTCTTGATGAAGTGAGAAGTTTTTCCTTTCAATTACATCATATTTTTGTGAGATGTGTTTAGATAATTGTTACTCAAGTACCATGTATTAAGGTTTTCCAAATATGGACTTTTTTCTTTTCTTGAAAGCTTCACAAATTACTTTATTGTTTCTTTATTTATTTATCAGTTTCTGATTATTGGAGTAATATGGGTTATTAAAATAAGTAATCACAGCGAAATGCAGCAATTTTATAATAAAGTAATAATCAATAAAATCCTTTATAATCCATCAACTATTAGCAGCAAATTATTCTAAATGTTATCTTATATCTTCATAGTTTTCTTGAAAGCAACTTTTAAAAAAGGTTTGGATATTTTGCTCGGGATGATTGTATTTCTCAATTAACTGGAACACCATGTAATGTTAATGTAGGCTTAAAACAGAACTTTTTGTTGCATTGCTTATAAAAATCTTTACTACAATTATGTAATGGTTAAAAATAAACAATTTAATAAGTACACAATTTATTGTCTTAGGCGCATGATAACTATTATACTTTCAGATCTGCTCGCTCTTATCAGTTCATTGAAATATTGAATGTATATTTGATTTGAAATACTGTTTTGCACTCTGTTTTATATAAACTACATCTCATAAAATAGAAAATGAAACATTAGAAAAATTAATTCCTTCAAACTTCAGTCTTCAGTGTTGGAGTACAACATTTTTCAGTCGTTGAAATGTATATTTCATTCTTGCAATTACAATTTTTTTTCACTAGTTGTCAAAAGTTTAAATGTTACCTAATGATCTTGAGCATTTTTAATATCTCTTTTAGTTTGCTCCATTCTGATATTCAAAAAACATTTTGAATATTTTTTTCTCCAAAGAAATTTCATTTCAAAATATTGGAAACATAAATCAATTGTAATATAGTATTTGACACAGATAATACATATAGTAATAGAAATATGTATTTGGTTCAATTAAGATGATCAATTTTCAATAAGAATGTTAAAAAATTTGAAAAATATGAACTGAAATAACACTGATTTAGTGTATTCATTTTGATTTCAAGCCAGTGGTCAGGTATTCAAAAATGTTTCTTCTTTCATCTCATTTTGTTTGCAGACCAAGTAAAACAATTTTATGTCAACAAAACGTCTTTCATAAATTGCAACCCTTGTTTACTACCTATTCTCGAAAATAATTTTTCAGAAAATTCTTGCCAACGTACTGTAAATATCACCATTCACTTGTATTCCATCCCCCCCCCCCCAAAATCATATCATTAGAGATATATTATTGTACATTCCATTCAATACACATATACATATATTTGAAATTTTTCGTGCTTTTATGCGTTTATGTTCTTATGTTGTGAGAATGGTCTCTCAGTGCTTCATGCTGAATGATAGAGGATCAGTGTATAACCGTCTAATTTTCCTTCAGGTGACTCCTTTAGCACGAAACAAATCAGCGTACTGATATCAAGATTGCTGCTGATGCACTACCAATAGATTCACGTGAAATTATGAACAACAGTACTTACTTTATATATTTAACCATTTGTTACTTAGAATGTTTCATTGGAAATTATTTCCACGTACTTTCATAGTCACCAGGGCACTGATTTTATGACCTTGCAAATGTTACATCCTCGCAATCAAACAGTGTTTTGAAAATTCATTTTCGATATGTTTTCAGGCACATGACTGATTTGAAAATAAACAGAATTTCCTAATTCTTTATGACTTAGATACAGGTTTTCCTTTCAAACGTCACCAAACCATCTTCTCTCAAAGAATTCAGTACTGTTTGTTTTAGTACGTATTATACGTACGTTTATACGTGTTATAGTACGTTCATTTCACGGCATGTGGAGTAACATAATTCCATTTTGTTTCCGGGACAGTTCTGGAATTCCAGCCATCTCCTGCCTGAGGTTTCAGTCGATAATGAATTGGCATAGTTGAAGTTGATGCAATTTAGCGTAATCCTCTTGGAGGTTGCATGTGTCACGTTGATGCCTACAGCCAGAGCCCAGCTCTCCATGGCAAGCTTCAAGGGGCACCCCGCACCCAGATGCGCCATGCCGTGCCGCCCCGAGCCGCGCCGTGCCGTGTTATTCCGTTCCGTGCTGGGCCGAGCAGAGCTGAGCCGAACGGCCTGCTGTTGGGGAAGGATCGTCGCTGCGAGTAGCGTCGCTTGTAAACGGAGGGCCACTTCATCGCATTCCCAGC